GGGGGGGGGGGGGGGGGGAAGGTAGGCTTGGAGAAGACAGTGTGAGGGGTGAATATGATCAAAATATAGTGTATACACTTCATAAATTAAAATTTAAAATATTGTATTATACAACTTCTGCCCATGCTATTCTTAAATTTCTCAGCTCCCTGCCCTTTATTAGTTTCTTTTTCTAATTTGTACTACTATCAAATCCATTCTAAACATACTAGCTTAAAAGTGAGGCATCTCCTGAGCAGCTCGTCCTTCACATTCCGTGTCCTTTAGTCAGATAACGGCTGAGGAGCAGAGCAGACGTCAGGTGCCACACTGGGCTCCACACCCACACACGCAGAGGGGCTCTTGCACTGTTTTCTTCTGCTCATGCGGACCATGGAGCACTGAGTCAGTGAGCACGGTCAGCCTGTGGGTGGGCTGCTCTAGCTTTCTACTAGATCCCATCCAATGCTTGTAGGGCTTTCTTCTTTCCGTGAGAGTGTGTGTGTGTGTGTGTGTGTGCTCACGTGGGTAACAATGGGGTCTTCCCTCAGAGTTTTGTTTCTGCCCCTCTAGCACTGGGTTTACAGACCTGTGCCACTCTGCTTGACTTTCATATGATCCAAATTCCACTGCTTGGGAGCCAAGTACTTTACTGACTGCACTATCTTTTGTTTTTGTTTTTCAAGACAAGGTTTCTCTGTAGCTTTGGAGCCTGTCCTAGAACTAGCTCTTGTAGACCAGGCTGGCCTCGAACTCACAAAGCTCTGCCTGCCTCTGCCTCCTGAGTGCTGGGCTTAAAGGTGTGTGCTACCACTGCCTGGCCTTTTGGCCTATCTTATAACCCTTGGGCTCCAGGATCTTTGCCAGCCACCAAAGCTTGCCCAGTCTTCATATGGCTAAGGAGGTAACTTGGATATTGCCTTCCTTGTCACGGGAAGCTCACTCTATGCCTAGCTGTTCAGGTCCCAAACTTGAGAGTCTTCTGCATTTAGTTTATAGAATAAGATAAAAAAGTGGTACAAGCTGAGAGAAACATTTCTTTCTGGTGATTGTCTCTAGACATTTATCTGTGTGAATTTGCAGACAGACTTGACGTTTTCTTTCTTAGATATTTAAAAGTTTGACATTTTATTTATAAGATGCCCAGTCCAGCAGTGCACTGCCTACATGTCTCGTGCCTGAAGTCAGAAGAGGGCATCAGGAGTTATAGATGGTTGTCAGCTGCCATGTGGGTGCTAGAAACCAATTACAGGTCCTCTTCAAGAGCAGCAAGCACTGTTAACCACTGGACTCTCCAGGCCCCACACCAACAGCCCATGGTAAGGCTGTCATTATGCCATTATGATCTTGTATCTTTACAAGTTTCTAAGTTGGGCTAGGATGAGGTTAGTGCTCCTGACTAGCCATCTAAAACTCCAAGATTCCATCGTGGGAAGGTGTGTGGGTGTTCTCTCTAACGTCTTCCTCTGACTTGTGGTACACGGCTCTTCAAGTTTCACAAGGGCAGCGGTTGGAGGGCTGGGTGTGCGAGGCTATCTGGTTTGGGTAGCTGTGACTATCTGGTTTGGGTAGCTGTAACAAGGTTTGCACTCTGTAGGGCAGATGAAGCCTTAATGAGCAGCAGTGGGTTCTTGGCGCATCTATCTTCCGTTCTCTGGTTGTCCCTGCATGCCAGCAATGTTTCTCAAGTCGCCTCCATTTCTACATTGTTCTGTACTCAAACAACTCAAAAAGCCTGTTTGCAACTGCTTTAAGCATATGCCCTAGGCGGATGATAATCAGCAATGGAAAAGTACAAAACTTGCAAAACAGCCCTGACTGCCACTTGCACCCTGACCACAGTACCCTGCACCACCAGCCTGCCAGGAAACACCTAGCGCCCATGATAGGGCTTGGGGGCTTTCCAGGACAGGGTTTGGGGTTTTTATGGTATTTCTGGGAAATAGAAGGAACAAACAGCTATGTCCTAGAACTGATCCAATATGCTAAAATATAATATAAAATATTATATCCAATCATTCTGTATTTCATACCCATTATGCTAATGTTGTGGTTTTTGCCTATAAAAACTTGCTGGAATTGCTGTTCGGGGTTGCTCTGCCTCTTCCGAGACTAGAGACATCCGGTCACGTGATCGTTAACAACCCCTCAAGCTTCTTGCATCCGCTGGACTGGTTGAGTCGCGGGGCTTGGGTGAGGGTTTTCCAGTTACTTACTGTTAGTTTCTGCCTTACACCACAGGCTTTCCCGCTTTCCTCCCTATGTTCAAACATAATCAAAGCCTTCCCCTCCTCCCCCTTTAGCTGTTGAGATCCCAAGCCCCAGAATCCTGAGTTCTGTGGCTAAGAAGGCGGACCCCCCCCCCCCCCCCCCCCCCCCCCCCCGCCGCTGGCAGCTAGGAAGTCAAAGCTGCCTTGCCAGCCTTGACCAGGCCTTTCACCTAGTCCCTATCAGGAGCTGTGCCTAGTTTCCAAGAACGCGGCCCTGGCCCTCTTCCCAACCACGTCATCACAGTGTACTCCGTAGACTCGAAACCCCTGCCCCACGGTGGTCCCATCCTCTGTCGTGGCGCCTTGGCTGCCTGCGTGGCCCCTGTTGACCACCGATCAACGCTAGTTTTTTATTCCGCTCTCACCTCAGGCCTTTCTAATCTCCTCGGCGGTTCTCCTGAAGCTCCCGAGGCTTCCGCGGCCTCTTTCCAGCAAGTTCCCCTCCACGCTACTCAAGGCCACGCCCTTCCCGTAGGCCCCGCCTCCCACGTTCTCTCCGTCCTCTCGGGCCCCGCCTCCTGGGAGCCTGGCGGCGTGGGGCGGCGGGCGCTCAACCACTGCGGTTGCGGTGCGGCTGTCGTGCTCACCTTCGTGATGCTCTGATTGGCCGCGCTAGCATCGGCCCACCCAGCTATTCCGGTCGGCCCAGGCTCGCGCCTGCGCAGTGCGCTAAGCTGTCAGCTAGGTAAGGTGCTGGCAAGCCGGTGGCCGAGAGTGCGGTGCTGTCATGACTGAGGGCACGTGAGTCCCGGACCCTGGGCCTCCCGCGGGTGCTGCGAGGGACGCGGCAGGGCGGTGGCAGGGAAGGTGCCCGGGCAGCAGCAGGGTGGCATGGCGGGTGGCTCTGCACGCCTGGGTTGCAGGTAGCTCCACCTGGGTGGAGCCTAACGACCGCTGCTTTATTGTCGCTGGCCCGCTCAGGTGTCTGCGGCGGCGAGGGGGACCCTATAAAACTGAGCCGGCCACTGACCTCACCCGCTGGCGGCTCCGCAATGAGCTGGGTCGGCAGACATGGACGTATTTCCAAGCGGAGGACGACCCCGGTCGAGAACAGACCGGGCTGGAGGCCCACTCTTTGGGACTGGACACAGTAAGTGTTGTGATTCGGATTATTTTATATCTTCTGCCATCATCCTCAGGCGCCATCTCACCCCAAACCTGGAAGTGACCACAGACCAGCCTCTCTCTGCCTTGTCTTTCCTGAGCCAGAGTCCTGAAATAGGAGAGAGCCTTGTTCAAAAAGTGGGCAGCTCTCCAGTAAAAGTTATTTGTGAGTGTAGTGTAACACAAAGAAAAGCTCCATATAAAGGGATGGGGAAGGACGAAGTGCAGATAATGGACTCGACTTATGAAAGAAGGTGTGAAGCCAGCTGGGTTTGCCGGTTTTTGTTTTAGGTGGTGGATTAATGCATAAAATGCATTGAGGCTGAGAGTATAAAACTTAAGCCTGAGCTTCTTTTCCAAATGCCGAGTTCGTTAGAATAGACTTTGTGTCTGACTCGTTTTGGTGTGTGATGGTTTGTGATGGTTTTATTTATTTGCAGTTTTTATAGAGTAGTGTGAACCTAGGCGTGGGGCATTTCTGTATTTCCAGCCACTCAGGAGGCTGTGGCGGCAGGATCTGTGTTTGAGATATGCCTTGGCAACTTAGTTCGACCTTGTCTCAAAAAAAAAAAAAGAAGAAGAAGAAGAAGCAAAGAAGCTGGGTGTGGCTTTAACCCCAGTGCTCAGGAGGCCGGTGGGTCTCTGAGTTGGAGGCCTGTCTGGTCTACAAAGCAACTTCTAGGTCAGGCCTGGCCACCACATCTCAAAACAGCAGCAAACAGGCAAAGCAAAAGAAGTGATGAGCAGCTCAGTGACTGAATGTTTACCTAAGTTCGATCTCCAAAACAGAAACAACAACAGCAGCGAAAAGCGTGTTGTCTTGGGGACCCTGCTCCCCTGCAGAGACATGATTGAAGCTTGTTCAATCACTTCATCCCAGAGACCTGTGCAAGAAGTTGCCCTAATTTGATTTTATTTTGAGCACTCCACTTTGAGAAAAATCTTTGATTTGTAAGAGAATTACAAAAATGGGTGTGGTTTTGCTCGTATTTAATGTTTGGTTTAATCTTAATAAAAGCTTCTCTGCTGACGCAAGAAACTCCAACCAAACCAGATTAGACCAAATTAAAATGCACTTGTTTAGTAAATGTGGACCAAGACAGCTAGGTGGGGGGTAAAGCCCAGCAAACACGAACTTAAATAGCCTGTGGGAGTGGCCCTGACCTCCAGGGGATGGGTCAGCGCTTGGCAGGCTGGGAGTTGGAGTCCAGACCAGGATAACTCCCAGGCCAGGGGCTTCCAATCATCTACAAGGTGAAGGTACTTGGACCTGACCTTGTGTGTGCACGCACACAAGAAACTCAGCCAGTCATAGAACAGTTAGCTAACAGGCCTCTTCTTTTCTTGTTTTTTTGAGATCGGGGTTCTTTGTGTAACAGTCCTAGTTGAATTGGAACTAGCCCTGTAGACCAGGCTAACCTCGAACTCAAAGAGATCCATCTGCCTCTGTCTCCCGAGTGTGCCCCACCACCACCCGGCCACTAACAGGCTTCCTGTGAGTCCTGGCCACCAGTTGGGAAAACCTGCTCCGGTGATCCGCTATGCTATTATGTAGGCCCTGTCTGAGATGGTCCCCTCAGTATTAGTTGGGCATTCATGCCGTACTCTATGCTCTGTGCTGTGTTTATTTAAGATGTTTTGAAGTTTTGAAGAAATTTGCAGATTGGTGGCTGGAAAGTAAATCATGACAACAGAGAATTGCATTTTTACTTTACTGGCGTGATCTTGTCATCAAAGACTCGTTTCAGATTGAAACCATTCAAAGTTTTAAAGTAAATTAGATTCACTATTTTGACATGGATTGTGAATGAGGAGGATTCCTCAGGGCACCAGGCAACCTCAACTCTCATTTTTTCTTTCCCTTTACAGAAGAATTATTTCAAAGACTTACCTAAAGCTCAAACAGCCCTTGAGGGGGCCCTGAATGGAGTGACATTTTATGCCAAGCTGCAGGCCGAGGATGGACACTGGGCGGGTGATTATGGTGGACCCCTCTTCCTCTTGCCAGGTAGGCGCATGCTATCCTAACTCGAGGGCAAGGTTGTTCCGGACTGTCGGTGGGTAGGGCCTTGACCTACACTGGTAAAGCAGGCTGAAACCTGGCAGTGCATTGGAAGAGCTCTGGGAGAGGGTGGCCTTGTCTAACTGCCAGGATAGGGAATGATGGTAAAGCACGATTAGCCCGGGGTAGACTGGCAAATGCTCTAATAATGGAAGCAAAGGGGTCTCTTGGAGAGGGGGACGGGTGCTCTTGAATCCCAGTGTAAGATGGTACTCTGGGTAGAAGACCCAGACAGTGCTAGGTCTGTGATAGGCAAGGGGATTTGTCTGAGGGAGTTCTGGCAGGAAAACCATAGGCCCAGGTTGGTGAGTGGTTGCAGGATTGTGTTTCAACTCACAGTTGATCTAGTTTAGGTGTGTAAGACTTTTTGCATCCTGGCAATGTTTCTTTTTTAAAAACAAAAACATATTCATGCTTCCAGACCCTTTTCCTCGTTGAGTTTTAACTCTTATCTCAGTAGCCTGAATTCTTAGGAGAATGTGGGTTTGTTTCCATAGTAGCTGCCATATGATGCCCTTCCCATGCTATGACATGAAATGTCATGGACATATGATATGGAACTGCCTGTGGATGATGAAGATAGGAGTGTGCACTCAGAGACCAGGCATGGATGAAGGGTTCCTGTATAGTGTTGTCTATCCCCATATGTGCAAAGTGGCTCATACATGTAAAAAGTTTATAAAAACAGAACACTAAAATCTGAGCAATAACTATTATCCTATCCGGGGTTGCCATTTTAGTATTTCAGTCCCAAGCAGATGTTAAAGCAAGACCTGGTCACCCCTGTGGTCCCATTGATCTTGAACTGGCTCTTAATAGGCCTTCAGAGCACTTGTGGGCGGCCTCTTCAAGGCTCTGCCGTGTTTCCCTGACCCAGACTGTGGTATGGGTGCCAGGCATCACCACTTGGGCTCTGCAGGCCCTGACCTGACAGTGTTAACTGTATTCTTCCTGGTGTTTCCAAAGTCATTCGGCCTAGGAAGAATGGCCTTTCTGGGAGATTGCATGGGAAGGCAGCTATGCGTCAGGATGGGTCCTTAAGAAGAAGAGCTTGGGCTTAGTGGTGCTGAGCGTCGTTCCTAATGTGGGCCATCCTTCTCACCACACAGGACTCCTGATTACATGCCATGTGTCACACATCCCTCTGCCGACTGGATACAAAGAGGAGATGATACGGTACCTGCAATCAGTGCAGCTCCCCGATGGCGGCTGGGGCCTGTGAGTGTCCAATCGCACATATGTACCTGTGTGTGCTTGCATGTGTTTTTATGTAACTCCTTGCTTGGGTTTCCAGGCAACAGGATAACTGTAACCATGGACCTAAGGTGGGGTGGGAGAAAGCCTTGTGGGAGGAGAGCAGCTGGTACCTATGCGAAGCCTGACTAGGGTTTTACTTCTAATGTTGTGAGTCTTGAGACTCACATGCCAAGTTAAAGCCATAGTGCTTTAAAATTGTGGAGGCAGCAGAGATGGCAGCAAATATAGGGGCCCCACAGACCCATCTCCACCTGCTTTTCTGATGTAGACATTCTGGGAGCAGAGGGGTAGGCAGGCCCTGCCCAGCTAGTTTTGGAGCAGTTGGCTCTCCTGCTGGGTGGACTAAACTTTCCCACAGCGTGCTTCCTGCGTTGTCATGCTGGTAGGAAATGCTTTAGTAGTTTTTTCTAGGCGGACTTCACTGCCAGTATGACTTTATTTCTTAGAAATAGTGACAGATGACAGAAGCCCCTTTCCCACCAGTCTCATGTTTCCATTAGGCATGTTGAGGACAAGTCCACGGTGTTTGGGACCGCCCTGAACTATGTGGCTCTCAGAATCCTGGGTGTTGGGCCTGATGATCCTGACCTTGTACGTGCTCGGAACATTCTTCACAAAAAAGGTATGTACGTCCTGTATGGCACGTGGGGTTTGTGTCATACTGACACACAGTGAGCTCTTGTAAATGGGAATTAGTAAGATGCACCTCTAGTTGAAACACTGGGAAAAACATGAGTAAGTGGAAATTGTTGAGCTGTGTAATGATTAGTAATATTAATAATAATTATTTATTTTAATCATTTTAAAAGACTTTTTTTGTTTATTGGTTTATTTTTTGTTTTTTGAGTCAAGATTTTTCTATGTAGCTCTGGCTGTCCTGGAACTCACTCTGTAGACTAGGCTGGTCTCAAACTCAGAGATTCATCTGCCTCTGCTTTGCAAATGCTGGGATTAAAGGTGTGTGCCACCACTGCCCAGCTGGAGACTTACTCACTTTTATGTGTATGGGTGCCTGCACATACGTCTGTGCACCACATGTATGCAGTGCTCGTGAAGGCTAGAAGAGTATGTTGGAGCCTCTAGAGTTGTAGTTAGAGACACAGACCTGCTAGCTGCCATGTGGCTTCTGGTAACTGAAGTCAAGTCCTCTGCAGTTTGTGCTTTTAACCTCTGAGCCCTAATTTTAGTATTTGTAATTAATTATTTTCTGTGTGTTTTTGTTTTGTGAGGTGCGTGTGTGGATTGTGTGTGTGTCACAGTACACATGGAGAGGTCAGAGGACAACTTTGTGAAGTTGATTCTCTCCTTTCATCTTTACCTGAGTTTCATGGATCACACTCAGGATGCCAGGCTTGTGTGGCCAGTTCTTTGCCCACTTAGCACATCTACAACTTGAGTGCTGTCGTGGTTTTGTTGTTGTTTTGTTGAGGGAGGGCAGGGTCTCATGTATCCCTGGTAATCCTTGAACTTACCCCATAACCAAGGTTGGCCTTGAACTCCTGATCTAACTGCTTTTTATTCCTGAGTGCTGGGGTTACAGACATGCATGACCATGCCTCATGTATGTAGTGCTGGGGTTACAGACATGCATGACCATGCTTCATGTATGTAGTGCTGGGGTTTGAACTTAGGGCTTTGTGCCTGCTAGAGAAGCATTCTACCAGTTAAGTTTATTCTTAGCTCAAAACAATTTGATATTTTATATTTTGCTTTCTTCGTGGATTGGTAAAGATTTAAAGGCGCCATGCTAACACAGTACTTGTGAGACAGTTCATGGAGTCTGCCCACGGAAGGCAGCTGAGCTCAGGTGCACGTCCCCCATGAGGGCCCCACTCATCCCTCCTCACTTACATCTCTGGACCTGAGCATGGCTACGTCTCAACTCACCTGTGGCCTTTGGAGACCATTCCAACCCTTGCAGGCTCTGTGGCTCCCCCTGCTCTTAGGACAGAGCTTGTCTTGCATTACCAGTCTGCAGCTCGTCGTGTGGTCCAGGACCTGCACTCCTGTCTCGCTTTTTGCTCCATGATCAAGGGTCTCCTTTCATTTGATCAAAGTGGTTTCCTACCTCTAGGTTCCCATGCGCTCTGTCCTCTCATCCCCCTGTCCACCTTTGCCGTGCTGTCTTGGAAACGCCTCTTCACACTTATGGTATATCTTAAACTTCACTCCTTCGGGCTCTCTTTCTGACTTCCCAGGCTAGAGGAAGTGTTCTGTGTGCCTTATGAAATGCTGCAATCTCCTTTCAAGTGTTTGCCCCTGTTGTGATTAAGTCATCATAACCTCTGATGGTCTTGATCACGTGCTCTCAAAGTTTTCTGTTTCCCTGTTGCTGTCTTGTTCTGAGGCCTGCCAGGAGGAGGGACATGCTCGAACCATGCTTCCGCTAGCAACTTTCTCAGTCTTTCTAACTTCGACACATTTGGACTTAGGAGAGAACTTATAAAATGTGTATAAGTCAGTATTGCCATGTGCTGCACAAAAGGCTGACCGTTGCTTGGTAAGGGCGGGAGTGGCTCTGAATGTGGGCTGCATGCTAGACTGTCTGTAGTCACTTGTGCCAGTCTGTCTGCTGAGTGGAAACGCACAGATGCGCAGCTTGGTCTTGGCTGTGCAGCACAATGCACAGTGCACAGCACTGGCCTCTTCTTTCCCTCCCTGAGCTGCCTTCATGTGTTCCTTCTTAGGGATAAGGGCTGTAAACAGCTCTCCTAAGGGTGGTCACATTTATTCCTGACTGGGAGTTACCGGACCCATTGCAGTTCATGCAAGAAGGGGTACAAGAGATAGCTTCAAGCCAGTGTTCACACGTAACAGTAGCTACTTTTTCCTGTTATCTTTCCAGGCGGTGCGGTGGCCATCCCCTCCTGGGGGAAATTCTGGCTGGCCGTCCTGAATGTTTATAGCTGGGAAGGAATCAATACCCTGTTCCCTGAGATGTGGTATGTTTGCCCCCTGCCTTCTAGTAGACTGATGAGACCTAACAGGGTGGATTAGGCTCTCACTAGAGGCCCTTCATGTGTTCTACACATAGATAGAAGGGGGTTCTCTTTTCGGTAAGAGCAAGCTGTCAAACCATACAGCAATGGAGCAGCCTGTGGGACCCTGTAGGGTATTTCCAGACCCATTGTGTGGCTTGGTCTTTGTGGGGATAGATAGCAGATCATACCTGGTAATTACAAAGACTTGGAGCATCTTTAGGAGTAAAGGAAGAGCCTCCTCCATCCCTGTATCTCGTTTTCTTAACTGATTTCATAAGTCCTAGATATCATTTCACCAATGAACACTTCCATGTGTATCTTTAAATTTTTTTTATTTTTTAATATTTACCCAACAGAATAAATTTCTATTCCTTACTAACTGAAACCTATTGTCAGTGTTTTTATCTTTTTTTGTAACTATCTTATAAGAACATTGGTTCTCTATATAATGTGTATATAAATTTACCCCAGATTAGATAAGATCTCCAGAACTATACAGAGTTCAGGCAGAACCTGCTGTCCTAGTGAAGACAGAGTTGAGGGTTCCTGTAGTAGATAGCTTTCATATGCAGAAAGATAGGATGTGAGGGACCGCTTGGAAGACAACAGGGTCCTGAAACAAGGACTAAAAGGCTTGGCTCTACAGCCTGGTTGAATTAAGTGGAAGACGTGGCAAATGCCTGAGCCAGTGAGGGGCGTGGAGAGAGCTCTCCATGTGTGGGGCAGGGCAGTTGAACTGTTTCTTGAAGTATGGAGGTATACTACAATTGAGCTAACATCCAGTGGTCCTTCATTGGCAGCTCTACCAGCTAGATGCTAGGCTTCCCTGGGGAGGTGCAGGCAGAGGAAGGCTTTGCCAGGCTAGAGTAGGGAGCTGAAGTTTGGGGCTGGAGAGGTTTCTGGTCTGTGTCCCTACACTGTAGGGCTCCACATAGGACTCCACAGTCATTTGGCATTAGAATGCAGAGTGCAAGCATGCATGCACATGGATGGATGTACTCACAGCAGCATAAGTGTCCATGCTTGGAAGAGCCCAAGGCCTATGTCCTGTCCCACTGACACATGCTCTCTTCTAGGTTGTTTCCTGAATGGGTACCTGCACACCCTTCCACTCTCTGGTGTCACTGCCGGCAGGTCTATCTACCCATGAGCTACTGCTATGCCACTCGGCTAAGTGCCCCAGAGGACCCACTGGTTCAGAGCCTCCGTCAGGTAAGCCTTATGGTCTCTAGGGACCTTGTAAGGCTATGGTTCACAGTTCCTAGAGCTTAAATGCATCTTTCTACTCTGGGGTCCAGGGGAGTCTCTGCCTTCTCACCTGTAAACAAAAGATAAACTGCTCACAGGGGCCTGAAAGGCATCTGCCTTGTACAGAGGGGCTTGGAGAGTTCACAGGCTGCAGTCCTAACCCGTGCTTGTAGTCATTGTTCTTGGGAAAGAGCCCTGAGATGGACTTTGGAACAGGATTTGCACTAGGGTGAGACTTCGGCTCTTGGACTGGGACAGCTCCTCAGATTAGCCCTGGTGTCACTGAACTAGCTGGGCCTTACACCCTGTAGTGGTGGTTTGCTGGGTGTCTCCACCCCTGAGAAAGGATGTGACCCAGAACCCTGAGAATGTACAGCCAGAGATCACCCCTGGTTAGAGCTAGTCCATCTTCTTCTTCTTGCCTGCTGCTTCTGCTAGGCACTCAGGTGTCCCCTGCCCTTTAGGAGCTCTACGTGGAGGATTATGCCAGCATTGATTGGCCAGCACAGAAGAACAACGTGTCCCCGGATGACCTATACACGCCACATAGCTGGCTGCTGCATGTAGTGTATGGTAGGTGATGGTCAGCCCTCCACATGATTCATTCACTCTGACTCACTCTGTCAGTGCAATAAATAAATGGCCCTGGAGTGGAAACTCAGAAGATAGAACCTTGCTCTGGTCCCCCAGCAAAGACCAGCTGCTGTCAGGTCACCTAGGTAGGGCAGGGCAGGGCAGGGCAGGGTCACGGTGGGCGGTAGGAAGCAGCCCTTCCTAGATGAGAAGGAGGAAGCACAGATGAAACAGAGTGAGTGGGAGGAGGGATCCCCGAGGAAATGAGAGGCCAGATGCTGGACTGTGTAGGACCCATTCATGTCTGTAGGACTAGGGCACAGCCTGTCCAGGAATGCCAGTTGTCCTCTTCTGTTGCTGAGTGTCCCCAATGCCTTCTCCCCTTCAGGAATCCTCAACCTGTATGAACGTTTCCATAGTACGAGCCTGCGGCAGCGGGCCATCCGAATGCTGTATGAACATATTGTTGCCGATGACCGCTTCACTAAGTGCATCAGTATTGGCCCGGTCAGTGCCCCCATCCTGGGTGCCTGCGGCACCTTTGGTGGCAGTGAGGTCCTGTCAGATGCCCTAGGAGCTAGGCTCTGTGGAGTTAGGAATGCGGCAGGCTTATTTCCTATATTCTGGCGCATCTCAGTTTGGGTCAGTGTATTTGAAGCACCACTTAATATTCATTTCTTAGGCTCCCGTTCTCCTACCTGGCTCTTGTCTAAGAGTCTGAGAACCTCCTGGAAGACTACTTTCTGAGATTTCTGGTCAACTGAGTGGGGTGTGTTTTTCCACTTACTCCCTCATAGATGGACCCTAGATAATCCGTCTTTTACCCTTTATATAAGAGTTATAAGTGCCTAGGGGTGTAATGCAAACAGCAGAATCCTCATGTTCACTTCTGGTCTCTCCCATCTGGCTGGGGATGCCAGCCTTCTAGTCCGACCAACTGTGCACAGGCTTTGGGACCTTACAGAGCACATGCCTGAGGCTGAGTAGACAACACATAGTGACCAGAGCTAGTGGAGACCCAGCAAGGAAGCTGTCCTCATAGATGGGAGACACACAGGATGTGGGTTGTAATATTGGGGACTGCACTGTGGCTGTCTGCCCATAGGTTCTCTGGATAAACTGAGCTTCCTCCTCCCTCTCTGTGGACTCTTGGTCCTTGTTGGTCACACCCTAAGCTGACTCAGAATCTTGAGTGACATTGCCTTCAGTTTGAGTCTCGGGGCATGAATGCATAGAGAACACTTAGGAAGCTTGTATTAGAACAGATGGGGCGCTGTCCCAGGGTAAAGTTGCATGGGTCCTGAAGCCCACATATCCTGCAGATCTCAAAAACCATCAACATGCTTGTTCGTTGGGCAGTGGATGGGCCCTCCTCCCCTGCCTTCCAGGAGCACGTCTCTAGGATCCCAGATTACCTTTGGTGAGTGTGACTGAGTGGTGGCTGGGGTGTGGTGCCAAGTGCTGACCATGGCATGCAGCTTAATGCTGGCCCTGTGCCTCATCTAGATAAGGGTGCCAGGGTGTCAAACTTCTGAGAATATTTTATGGAATCAGGGGCACTGCCAGTTAGATTGTCTTTGGGAAGATTTTTTTTTTTTATTACCTAGCGGTGACTATGGATAATTCCCAGAGTCAGAGCCAGGAAGCCTGGAAGCAGGCAGCTTTAGATTGTTGTGAAAAGGGCCAGTGGATAAGAGTTGTCAGCCCTGTACTGTGTCCAAGGTGGGGACTGTCACAGTGACCATAGCAGGAAGGCTTAGGCACATAAAGGCCATTTTCTCTCTGGCGGTGTGGTGTGAGCTGAGGATAGCAAAGTAGACCTGGCCATAGAAGGTTCTATTTACCCTGGCATGGACTAGAGCTCCCTGGGTAAGCCACTGACTTGTTCCTGCTGGGTGTAGGCCTTGTGCTTGTGAGCCCAGCTGGGCAGCCCTGAAGTCAGCGTGGCGGGAGCTGGGACATCTGTGTGCTGTTTTGCTTGTGTGTGGCTCCTGATGGACAGCTAGAATTCCAGCTTTCTCACTGTCCCTGACGTAATCTTTTCTTATCCCCATAGGCTGGGCCTTGATGGCATGAAAATGCAGGTAAGGGCTATAGAACGGAGGCTGCCTCTCTGTCACCATCTCTGCTTATTTATTAGGATTCAGAAGTGCCTGTCAGGTGTGGTGGCGCTTGCTTATAGTACCGTCTCTGAGCTGGTTAAAGCAGAACGATTGAGTGTGGGCCACACAGTGCTATACAGCAAGACCCTGTTTCTGAATTTAAAAAAAAAAAATGGGACAGGGTTGGAAAGCCATCCCTACTACAGTTTTTGTAGTAAAAGAGGAGAGACAGAATCACCCTTTATTCCTTGTGTCTGTGGGGTTGGTCTCTATGGTTGCTGTTTGTTCTCATGGGTCCATCTGTAGTCTTTCATCAGGGTAGACTAAACCATGGCAGATCCAGACTCGGCTCAGACCCTCCAGGAACCATCCTCCTGCTGTTGTGAGGGAAAGTGGCTCTGGGTGGGAATGGGCTCTCTGTGAGACCACATGGAACTCCTCTGGCGGGTCACTAGGAACTGTGTGCGCTCACCTAATAGGATAACCCTAGAGATTGCCCTCTCGCCACCAGTACAGGAGGAGCCTCCGGGGCAGAGGGGCGGGCCCTGAAAATTGTTCCTTTCTTGGTACCCAGTGGTAAATGGGGATAGCACTTGGTGTATGGTCACCTTTGCCCTAGATCCACCTAGGGCTCTGGCCAAAGGGTGGTCAGTGGAAATGCTTTTTTCTGGTCAGGTATTTGCCTGAGATCTTTGGCCCCCAAGGAGCTGTGAGAAACTTAGAGTCTATGATTACCCTGTAGTGTTGGGAGCTGGGGTTTCTGTCAGATATTTAGAGATTCCTGAACAAAACCCATTGTGGATTTGATCATCCATTTCCTGCACTGAGACCCAAGAGTGTTGTCCAGAAATTCAGGGTTCCAGGGTGGGATTTGAAGTGAACCTTCCTCACCCTGTCAGGGCCACAGTAATGTGTCAGCTGGGTCCCTAACCTCTCAGGCATATTTGGAAATGGAGGAGCTTTATTTCTACCTGTCTCATGACTGGGGTACCCTGCTGTCATGGGTGTTGAGGAGCCTTCACGGGATCATGTGGTCCTGGATATGTCCTGAGAGGCAGGTAGGGCTCTGTTATCCATGGCTGCCTGCAAGGCTTAGGGTTCTTTCTGACCTTTGTCAGCTGCTTTGGTGCACAGGGCTCAGACTCTGGGATAAGGTATTAGCTGGGTATGTCTCCGACACCCTCGGATTCTAGGAGTCAGTGAATGGGGTTGCTATGACAGCTCGTTCTCTGTGAACAGGGCACCAACGGATCACAGATCTGGGACACGTCATTTGCTATCCAAGCACTGTTGGAGGTAAGTGTGTGGCTCTGTTTCTCTGCAGCCCCATGTGAACTTCCTGTGTGTGTGAGGCACACGTTCACCCTGAGGAAAATAATGCTGCTTCCTGCCTCTGCCCCTTGAGCTTCCCATTTGCCTGGCTCCCAATCCCCTGTTGATAATCCTCTGGAACTGGACGCTAAACTGGGAAATAAGCCTAGGGAGTGGAGAGCAGGGTGGTACCTGGGGCTGCATGGGCTTGAGGCTCTTAGAACATTAGCTGCTATGTGAGTTAGAGAAAATATGTTTCCTTGCCTGTGGGAATGCAATCAGTGAAATCCCGAGGGTGTCTTTGGACAGTTGGGCTGCCGAAAGTGAGGCCTGGCAGAACAGGTGGGACTTTGGTAACTGTCCAGGGTGGTCTCTTCTGTCCATTACTGTCTTTAGTTGTGTCTCACTGTCTTTTCTGTCTTTCAAGCTGAGAGCCTCAGGAAACGTTTCCCCAGACAACTCTAAGATGCGTCATTTTCTGGGGGTGGGGTGGCAGGATGTCACCAGGGCACCGGAGGACTGGCTTAACCATGCTATTCTACTGTCTTCTAGGCAGGTGCACACCACAGACCTGAGTTTTTGCCCTGCCTGCAGAAGGCTCACGAGTTCCTGCGGCTTTCACAGGTGAGGCCCGTGTCCTTCATCATCTGTCCTGCTGCCCCAAGCTGGCTTTCTTGGGTTGTTTCTGCCCTGTTCTACCCTGCCCTTGCCGTGTTGGTACAACTAGTCATCCTATGGTAGCTCTGGCTGTGGCCCATGGTAGCCTATCACCAGCCAGTGATTTCTGTTCTTCATGCCAAAACACCTGTGTGCAGCGGGCCAAAGCCAGCCTGTGACACAGTCAGGAGTTGTGTCCTTGATCAACAGCCTGTGGACATCGTAGCCATCTTTGAGCCAGTGCCTGCCTTCCCTGAGACCAAGTACAGCCATATCAGTTTCTCTCATCCCTGCCTTTCATAGCCACCTACACCCCATCATGTGCTGCTTTCTTAGGCTGGCCTTGCATACCCTGCTTCAGACACAGTGGATGCCTCCAGCCTTGATCCCACTGGCATCCTTCTGCCCTGGAGTCTCGTGCCCCTAATCCTCTGTCCTTTGATCCCCACCAGGATACAGCTTCCTCAGGAGCCTCCATGTAGCTGTTACCCATATGCGTCTATGGCTGTTGGGAGTGAGTCAGCACTGTCTTCCACAACCAGGCCTGATCCGGGCCCTACACTGAGCAATGGGCCTTTAGCCCATCTCAGTGGACCGTGCTGCACTTGCAGACCTATTTGCTTTCTCATTGACCTGAGTCATGCAGCTCAGTAGTGAGCCCACAAGGCTGTGCAGGAGAGTGGATTGTGTAGCCCTCTCTGGATGATCTTCTTCCCTAGTAGTGATACGGCGACTGGTCTCATGGGTGCCATGCTGCACTGACCATGTTTCTGTTTTCCACATACGTTCCTTGCTGCTCTCCAGGTCCCAGACAACCTTCCTGACTATCAGAAGTATTACCGCCAGATGCGCAAGGTATGTGTGGGCAACCCACCTGAGCCAACGCCCAGCTGTCTTCTCTTTGGCTATTTGCTCTGTAGATGCCTCACGTCAGGAATTCATCATCCCCTGAGATAGCCTACACCTCTGTGGCCAGGCTTCAGGGCAGTTCAGATGTCTAGCACACACAGATGCTGAGCTGGAGTGTTGAAATCAAGGCAGAGGGCATAAAGGACCCAGAGCCAGCATTAACCTTCTTTGCTATAAGGGCCTGCTTTTGGCTGCAGGTTGTGGAATGAGACATTGACGTAGCTGCTGCCTCCCATAGTGGGGTCCATAGGGCACCTGTGTTGCTGTTCAGGTCCCAGACCACTTTATTGCTAAGCTCTAAGGGCCGTCAGGATGGGCATAAAGTCTTAGATAGTCCCTGTGCTGAAGCTCAGGTCTATTCAGCTATGCCCAGTTTAGGTACCACTGTGCGGTGGAGAGGCCTCTGCCCTCCTGTTACAGCTCTGCAGGGGAGAAGCTTACACTCAGTCTCTGTAGGGCGGTTTCTGCTTCAGCACACTGGACTGTGGCTGGATCGTTGCCGACTGCACAGCCGAGGCTTTGAAGGCCGTGCTGCTCCTGCAGAAGCAGTGTCCCTTTATCACCGAGCACATCCCCCAAGAGCGGCTCTGTGATGCTGTGGCTGTGGTGAGTGTCCTACCTCGTGTTTACGCCCTCTTCTGTGGTTCTGTCTTAGCAGACCAAGGTGAGGGTGTAGGAGCACCAGAATCTGAGACTGTGAGTCCTGGGATAGACCCAGGGTTAGAAACTTCGGCTGGGTGTGTACATAGGGCCCTGTGCTATAAGATGGAACAGTCCCAGAAGTTACAAGGAGGCTGTATGGTCCCTGGGGTTTGTCTTCTTGGCTCTAGAGCTTCTCTTATCTGTGCTGAGATTTCTGCAGGTCTCATTTGGAAGGCCTAGTAGTATCCAAAGAAAAGTTGGAAGTGTCTGTTCATTTCTGTGTGGATTTTAGCACACCTGTTCCCTGTGTGTGTCTTACTATGGAGCTCTGCATTGGATTGACATTGGAATGTGTCTCCAGATATTGTGGGCAGCTGCATTGAGCACCTAAGGGCTAGCATGGAAACTGCCTTCTTACCCCTCGCTCCTGTCCTATAGGTTGTCAGTCCTGCGGTGCTTTGGGAAAGTCATGCTGTAAGTTGTGTGCTTGGTTCTCAGTCTGTCCCCCTCTTGTTACAGTTGTTGGGCATGAGGAATTCTGATGGAGGATTTGCTACCTACGAGACCAAGCGCGGGGGGCATTTGCTGGAGTTGCTGAACCCCTCAGAGGTCTTCGGTGAGTGTGTTGATTAGCAGTTTGGTGTATAGGCAAGGCCTGGCATGCTGACAGGTCTGTGCAGAGCTCTCTCTGGGCCTCAGAGTATGGAGTATCTGTATTCTTGATGAATGGCTGTGGTTCTCTTTCGGGCCATGGAGACCTTATGCTAGGTATCCATGCTCCTGCCTATCGACAGAGCTGTGTGCCTTGCAGCACAAGTGTGCAGGTCTCTGCCCATCGTACTCACTGTAGCCACACTGCCCAGGTTGGTCTTGGGGTGGCATCTGGGTGTAAGTCCTGCATGCTCCAACACGTGCTCACTACATTCTTGGCCTGAACTATGAGCTCAGGTGCCTCCTCCTTTCCCTTTCTAGGAGACATCATGATTGACTACACATATTTGGAGTGTACCTCAGCAGTGATGCAGTCTCTGAAGCATTTCCATGAGCAATATCCAGACCACAGGGCAGTAGAGATCAGGTAAGGAAGGCGAGGGCAGCGTTCTCAGACAGTAGGCCGTGACTTCTCACAGGATACTGGCTGGAGTAAACAGAGGGACAGTTTCAGGTGCCTACAGATCCATCAAGAGTCTGTGAGTCTGTGTAAGTCTGTGAGTGTACATGTGTGTACATGTGTGTGTATGTTGGTCTGGGGAAGACAGTACAACTGTAACACAAGAATGGGTTATTTTTTCCCATCTTCTTGAACATGTTTTCAAATGAGCATATATCATCAGTGTCCAGGTGAATACGTGCTAAATGTTCTTTCGTACTAAGAGCCGGTGAATGGTCAGACACTCTTGAGATTGTCATGTGGAGACCCTGCCATCACCTGATTTACATCCCCTATCATTCCATGAAGGGACTGCCCTCCTGTCTTCTCAGTCACAGATTCTTGTTGCTCACTTTGAACCCGCCTTGATGGAGTCCCCCCTGTGGATATATGTTGGTCCTTTCACTGTTACACAGACGTGCAGGGAATGTTTCACTTCTGTGGAAGTAACCACACTACAGTTCCCCCCTTCCTCTGGTTCTTGGCATTCTTTTGGTCCACGTTGTTTGTGATGTTTCTTGCATCTTGGAGGGGTTGGTACAGCTGTTCATTTCTCTCCGTCTGTGGTTTAATATTGGGCCACTATGACACAGCAACAGTTCGTTGGTCTCAGAAGTGTGACTAGTTATGACTCTTTGTGATATACCTCTCATTATTACTGATGAAGACTGAAGGCAGCAGTAATGTAAGGGTGTAAACACAGATTTAGAAGGAAATTTGATAGGCATATCATATCCATTAATAAAACAATAGCAATGGACTCCTTATTGGGGTCCATGATTTTTTCTAACCAGGAGCTTTGCCTTGGCTTCCAATATCACATGAGTTACATCGCAGCAGAAGGCAGCGACGTTGCAGTGTTACTATTGTGTTAGTGTTGTGTTACTATTGTATGAGTGGGCGTGTCTTACCTGATGTTTGCACTGTAGCAAGCAGGCCTCATAGCTGAGCTGGACTCTTGGTTATGCCCCAACAGCCTGCATGCTGTCTTCCAGTATTATGAAAGCCAGATAGCAGGGAAGGATTTTCTACTTTTGTCTTAGCCTAATTTTGCCAAAGCTTATGGTGTCTTTAACACTAAGGACTATCTAGTTTTGTTTTGTAGCCAAGAACAGTGGCTTGGCTGTGAGGGGCTTGGCTAACAGCTTTTAGGGAGGTCGCCCTAGAAGCCCACTCCTACCATTGAGTCAGTTCACAAAAAACATACATGATAGAACAATACACATAAAAGAGATTAAGCCGGGAGAGATGGCTCAGTTAGTAACATTCAGACTGATCTCATTTGTCCCCACGGAACATCAGTCCAGTGCCTCCGTCTCACCGCCTGAGACTATGAGCCTAACTGAACTCTTTCTTCTATGAGTTGCCTTTGTCATGGTGTCTCATCACAGCAATAGTAAGTAACCAGTATAGAAGGTGGCACCAGGATAGATTGCTGTGACAGACCTAACCATATGGCTTTGGGGAGGAACGTGGGAGGATTTTTAACTTTGGTCTAGAAAAGTGGTTGAACGCTGTACACAGAGCTCGATGGACCACCCTAGTAGGAACATGGAATACAGTGCTGAGAACTGTGCAGACCGCAGAGGCCCAGCTCAGGAGGTTCCATCTGGGAACAGTATCAGCAACTGGGCTAGAGACTATTCTTGTGATATTTTGGCAAATAGTAGCTAATTTCTGCCCTCTCCTAAGAACTTGCCTAAGGCTGTGTGATAGTAGTTGCTCATATGCAGGTGCACAGTGGATAGGAGTAAACGGGGGGGGGGGGGCGGCAGAAATACAAATGGACAGTTTGTAATGCGGTAGCCAAGGCCTGTGCAGGAGGAGATGAGAAAATTAAGGAGAGGCCTGGCCTGAAATGGAATAAATGGAGAAGCACCCTTAGGGCCAGACCACACAAGCTCGTAAAAATAGACGGCCTGAAGAATTTTCTAAATGAAAGCCGCTATAAATGATTCAGGGGGACCAGGCTTTGTCTCAAGTGAGCACCAGGCTCCATATCAAGTGAGCAGCCCAAAACACTTTGTTGTTGTGGGTGGTGGTTTTATATAGCTCATTTTATAGGATTTGTTTGGCCCCTGACACTAGTGTCATTGGCAGTGGCTTTGATAGTTTTCAGTGCTACTTCTCAAGAGGTCCTTGTCTCCAAAGGCCGTTTTCCTTTGTGTTTCTTCTGAACTTTGACAGTCTGTTTGTCCCTTCTATGTCCTATAGCTACATTTTTTCATCTCTCTCTCTCTTTTCTTTTTCGAGACAGGGTTTCTCTGTAGCTTTGGAGCCTATACTGGAACTAGCTCTTGTAGACCAGGCTGGCCTCGAACTCACAGAGATCCTCCTGCCTCTGCCTCCTGAGTGCTGGAATTAAAGGTGTGCATCACCACCACCTGGCCATTTTTTTTTTTCATTTTTGAACATTTGTTTTGATCTGTTTGAAGGGGAGAGGCCATTCTCACCTTTCTGAGACCACTGTGTAGGTGCGGTTGGGGAAGGCATTGATTCTGCCTGCAGTGTTCATTGAGTTCACTGCCCGCGTTGCAGGGAAACCCTCAAGCAAGGCCTGGAGTTCTGCCGAAAGGTACAGAGAGCTGATGGCTCCTGGGAGGGGTGAGTAGGCACTTGGGCTCACTTGCAGAGGGGTTGGTGGGAGGTGGTGACATGTGCATGGGGTTGGGAGTCTGCTCTTGCTGCCTTTTCCCTGGGGGGCTCAGGAAGAGGGACTTCCGGGCTGGTCATATTCCCTGACTGATGCTCAGCCTTCCCTTAGCTGAGAGCTTGTGTTGAGGAAGCAGTTGGGCTGCATGCTGGGAGGGCCTTTGGCCTAAACACGATTGCCCTCCTCCTTGTGTACATCAGCAGTTCTTTGTGTCTTGTGGAGGAGCAGTGGTTGAGCTGGGTGAGCGGCACCTCTTGAAACAGCGTTCACACTTGCACTGTGTGGAATGTGTGTGAACGCTGCTCTTAGCAGCTGCCCAAGTCCCTTCCCCCTCTTTGCTTTTCCTTCCCAACCCTCTGTCCTCTTCTGTATGTCTCTTACTCTTTGGTTTTGTGAGACAGGATCTTGCTGTGTATCTCAGGCTGTCTTTAAATTAGCAACCCCCCTGTCTCAGCCAGTGCTGGGAATGTGTGGTTCTACCACCATGCTCCCTCCCAGTTCTGCCCTCTGCTTTAGGTTGCCCCAGACCTGGGAAGAGTGCCTGTACTTTCACTTGGAATGAAGACCAAGTATGACCTTCTCTTTTGTCTCTCTCTAGCTCCTGGGGGGTTTGTTTCACCTATGGCACCTGGTTTGGCCTGGAAGCTTTTGCTTGCATGGGGTATACCTACCAAGATGGGTAAGTGTAGCTCTCAGTCTGACGTCAAGTAAGGGCATTGCCATGATAAATTGTTCTGGCCTGTCTTACTACTGTGATGAAACACTGGCCAGAAGCACCTTGGGGAAGAAGGGGCTTACTTTAGGCTTATACTTCTAGGTCATAGTCCATCACTGAGGGATGTCAGGGCAGGGCCTGACGCAGAAACCCTGAGAACAACCCCACTCTGCTGGCTTTTCACACAGTAGTGTGGACCTTCCCACACTCTTTAGTTGATGACCTCTCTTCCCAGGTGACTGTGTTAAATTGACAGTAAAACCAGCCCAGTAATGTTTTGCTTGTTTTTTTTTTCCCTTTGATATTTGATTTTATTTGTTTAATATTTTAAAACAATGAGTGAAGATCACTGTTTCAGAAGAAGGGAGTTCTGAGTACTTATTTTCTTGGCTTATAAGCCTTGGCTAGGTGTTACCTCACAGTCTTACAAATCTTTTTCTCTTATCCTGAGTGAGGAAATACTGGGGTCCCACTCAGGAACTCAGGAAGAGGGCTTGGTTCAGGCCTTGCCTCTGACTGCTTAGTCGATGCTTCTAGACCTACTGGGTTTGGAGTAGGGAAGTTTTACTAAGCCAAATGTGGCCCAGGGACCCTGGGTCTGTTTCCATGTGCCCACATAGTCAGCTTGCATATGCCTGTAGCTGCTGAGTGGTTTTCTCTGTGCCCAGCAGCCCTGTGAGACATGTACACCTATAGCCACTCACCTCGGTAGGCCCCTCCCATGACCCAAGGCAGCCTGTCAGAGTAGTTAAGGGTATAGACAGCTTAGATCCTCCCAAGACATGGTGTCTCAAATCTCTTCCTCTCTGCAGGACTGCATGTTCAGAAGTGTCTCGGGCCTGCAACTTCCTCCTGTCCCAGCAGATGGCAGATGGAGGCTGGGGGGAGGACTTTGAGTCGTGTGAACAACGGCGTTATGTGCAGAGTGCCAGGTCCCAGGTCCACAGTACATGCTGGGCCCTGATGGGCCTGATGGCTGTGCGGTAAGGGCGATGGGACCCGTCGTTGGGCATAGTAGGGGTGCCCGACTTTGAGGACATGGCCTAGGGTGTATAGATGTGGGAAGAGGTCAAGGGAGCCACAGGACTGAGCCAGTATCCCTCCATTACTGTGGATATCAGCAGCTTCAGAAGCCACACACCGTATTCCTAGGCTAAGTGGCAGCCTGTCTGGCTGGGTGGTTCCCTTTAGAGAGACTTAACCTCTCTATGGTCTGTTTATCTATTCAGAGTCAGTACCTGCTGGCAGAGCAAGAGAAGCTGGGGCCCAAGGAAAATGAGTGATGTGGCTGTGGTGGGGAAGTTGCTTTTCAGTGTGGAGAATACCGACCGCCTCAGTGTGAAGAGACACTTTTGGTCCTCCTGTGTCTGTAGCTCTTACTGAGTCACGTGTATTGTACTCGTGTACACAGGTACACGCATGTATGTGTATGTACTTGTGGGTGCATATACATGTTTAGGTGTATGCATGTATGTGTTCACATAGGTGTAGGTATACATGCATACACACACACTCACACATACACACAAATAAATTTGTATGTGCTGTCTTAACCTTGGAGCCATTTGGAGATCTTCCTAAAATCCCCTTAGTCAGTGCAGACAGGGACCCCGTGAGCAGGATAGTCATCAGTCTGCTCCCAGTCAGTCCCCCACTGCTGGCCTTGCTTCTTTCAAACCCTTAGTCCTTCTGTTGGCTCACTCTTGCCAGCAAGTGCATCCGAGCACATAACTTCTGTGGTTTCCAGTGAGCAGAGTAGGCATGAGGCTTGTCTTCCTCTCCTTGGGCATCTTATCAGCACCGGGTGCCAGCCATGTCAGAGGGTTTTCTCTCCGTAGAAGACACGGTTGACATGCTGACATGGCTGGCACGCGTCTGTCCCCGTGCTTGCACCTGCCCTGCTTCTCAGGGCTCCTGGGAAGATTGCAGTAGGAGTCTCAGGCGTTCTGGTTGTTAAGGTGTCTCTATCATCAGCATAGTATTTGGGGAATGTTTGTCCTCCTAAGATGTATGTTGATGCCACATGCTAGGTTTATTTAAGCCTGTCTTCTTGCCCCTCAGGCATCCCGATGTCGCTGCTCAGGAGAGAGGAATCAGATGTCTGCTGGAGAAGCAGTTCCCCAATGGAGACTGGCCGCAGGTGTGTGAGGACCATGTGAGAGTGGTCCCAGTGTCACTTCCCAGCTTGCTCACTTGGCTGTGCCCACATTCCTCCCAGGGTGCTTTGGAGATCTTGAGATATTGAGCACATTTTGCTATTTGTAAGGGCGCTGGCTGGGGAAGGGACTGGATAGTTGATGTTTCCTCCAGAAGCTTGGCTTTACCATCGTACCTTCACTGACAAGACGTGCAGATGGGTTTTCATCTGTCCCTGTGGTTACCAGAATTTTAGAGACCACTATTCCAAGGAAGAATGTTTCCTTCAAGCTCTAGTCTCTGAGCTGGAACCTGTGCTTCCTTGCCTTTGGTTGCCTGTCTTTGGTTCATCAGCTCTCCCCAAGCTCTCTCCAAACTTGCTCTGGGGCTGGGAAATTCAATAGTCAGGACCACCATCTAGGGACAGGCTCCTTAACTGTTCATTTTTCTGTGTTCTTCCAGGAGAACATCTCTGGGGTCTTCAACAAGTCCTGTGCCATCAGCTACACAAGTTACAGGAATGTCTTCCCCATCTGGGCCCTAGGCCGCTTCTCCAGCCTGTACCCTGATAATATCCTCGCTGGCCACCTTTGAATACATGTCTGCCTGTGCTGCAGCTGGCCAGCATCATTACCATGCAGGTCCAGGCGAGGCTGGGGTTTCTAGGCTAGGTGGTAGGAGCCTTCTTATTCCTGCTTTGGGCCTTGTTGTCTATTTCTGTAGACATGAAGCTGGGGATACGGTCAGGTTAGTGTCTCTAGGCTCTTGTCAGTATATGTTTAGTTCTGAAACTAGATTCCATGAGAAAGGGAACCAGATAAACCTTGAAATCCAAGGAAGCACACTGTACCCTACAGCTCGTGGGTACATCCTTCTTGAATGAGTGAAACTAGAGTTTTTATGGCCAATGACTTCCTTGTGAGAGGAACAGCTGGCTTCTTCACCTCCTCCTTTGTCTGCTGTGCAATGGGCCTCTGACCAGACTCCTGTTTGCTGGACTGGCAGAGTTCTGACAACCCAATGGTGCTGGTTTACTCAGAAAAAGCCTCAGTGGGGAGTGAGGCAGGGCCCTTTACTGTGTCCTGAGCGGTGGCTGTTGTTCTTGAAATACTAGTTTTCCAGAAAGGAAATACGAACTCGCTTTATACTAAAAATGTCACTAAAAGTGATTTCAATGACCACCGACTCCTTTAATAAACAGACATTTTGGTTCTGGAATGATGGCCTAGCAGTAAAGAACATTGGCTGTTCTTTCAGAGGACCTGGGTTTGATTTTCAGCACCCACTGGTGACTAACAACCTTCTATAACTCCAGTTCCCTGGGGATCCAATGCCGCCTTCTGGCCTCTGTGGGCACTGCACATACAATGCATAAACATACATGAGGGCCTAATACCCATACACATAAAGTAAAAATAAATCTCGAAAATAAAATATTAAAAACAAAATAACAAAACCCCCAGGCGTTTCATCCTAGAGTTTCCTGAGGCTGGGTGGCACAGAGGCAGATGCCGCATCCTATTCTGCCCCTAGATTGTAAGCATGTACATTGCATGTTTTCTTGGGTACAAGTTCTGCTTTCCAGTCATCTTGTTGAGATAGAGGCACATGTAGGAAGCCACACATAGAATGAAACGGGCAGATAGATAGTGGTTATGGTGTTCATACTGGGACAGCACTGTAGCAAGGACAGCTGATGACATCCAGCGCACCACTTAGACCCACTCAGTCAGCCAGGCAGTTGTAGCCCTCCTGGGACCCAGGAAAACATCTGAGACACCCAAAAGCCATTATGAACCCTTTTGCCAACTGTGCTTTGAGTTCAAGTGAGGGCCAGATTTCTGGGGTGATGCTTCTTGGGGATGAGCTCTGAATTCCTGATTTCTGACTCTCTGTGTCTGGCCAACATGCAGGCAGAGTTTGGGGTTGATAAAGTAGTAAGTTCTCCTTGAAGTTACTACTTTTCTCCCTGGTCATGGTGAGCAGGGTCCATCCTGGTGCCTTCTCAATCTAATGCTTTCTACCTCTATTACATGTGGACTGGTGGTGACTCCACTCTCTCCCTGGCCCATGGTCTTCCTGCAGACAAGCAGAGAGCTGTCAGATTTGGTTTCCCTGCCCAGGATCTTCTAGGCTGACCTTCTGCCATGGTGCAGATTCCCCGAGGCTTTGTGCCACCTGCCTCCTGCCCAGCTCCCACCACTGCCAGCTGTGCTGTGACTCCTCGGGCTCTGCCCCCGTAGATCACAAACCTGTGTTGTTGCCTGCACAGTCTCTCAGCCTCTGCCAGCAGCAGAGCAGATGGGTGGTGTATCACTAGATCGCCCTTAGCAGCAGCAACTGTTCCTTGGAATTCCTAGTCACGACCAGATCACTGTACGAAATACACTTACGGGACCAGTTCTCTTAATAAACAGACTGCTGATGAACATACACCGTAGCGTGTCATGCTTGTCTGTCCTGCAGACCATCCTGCTGTGGGGCTTTCAGTAGGGTGCACAGGATTACCCCCAGTTTAGAGTTGGTGGGGGACACCAGATTACAGTTCAGAAGTCCTTGAAGATTCTTGAAGTTTTAGCCTGTAAGGAACAACTTTAGATCTGCTGGAAGCGTTTCCTGTGGAGTCGTAGTAGAGTCCCTGTGTTCCCTGTGATGGGAACCTCAACACCCATTTCTAACGTATTCTTTAGTAGAAAATGGAAAATGTTGGCTGTTTTTCCCTCATGAAAGCTTTCCTGTGTGGTACTCACTGTAACATGATGTTCATCATGTAGTCCAGAATGGCCAAGCTTGAGGGCAGTCCTCCTGCCTCTGTCTCCTGAGTGCTGGCATTACAGTGTGCTACATGCCCTGCTGAAAGACTTGATGGGAGCTTCTTTTTTAAATAAAAATTTTCTGTATGCTGATTTTTTTGTTTGTTTGTTTTTTGTTTTCAAGACGGGGTTTCTCTGGAGCTTCAGAGCCTGTCCTGGAACTAGCTCTTGTAGACGAGGCTGGCCTCGAACTCATAGAGATTTGCCTGCCTCTGCCTCCTGAGTGCTGGGATTAAAGGCGTGTGTCATCACCGCCTGGCCTGTATGCTGATTTTTTATTCTCTATTTTAGCAAATACAACTATATGGTAATATGTTGGGACCATTTGGAGTCCTGGCCTCCAGCTGCTCTTCCCTGCTAGTGACCTTCACTTGGCCTTCTGATTTGAGCTACTGACAGCTGTGTCAAAGTTGTTTACCAGCTCTGCTTCCTGAGCACGTGTTGCCTTGCCTTGAGGATCAGGGGAGGAGGTTTTCACCTGTCGGCCCACCTGACTGTGTTGGGTATATAAGCCTCCCTGGCGCTATTCAATAAAGGGCTTCTTTACCAGTGACTAGAGGTTGTGTCTCTGTGTGTCTTTGAGTCTTTCAATCTCCAGCCCCTTGCCCGAGGCTCACGAACTGAATAGTAGCGCATAGAGCACAGCTGGGCATCGTGCGCTACAGTAATACATAGTTGACTTGATTTATTATTTTGCCTCCGTTCCCCTCCTCCCTTCCTCTTTCCTCCCTTCCTTTTCTTCCCTCCCTTCCTTCCTCTCTGTAGCTCTGGCTGTCCTGGAACTCATTCTGTAGATTAGGCTAACTTCAGTCTCACAGAGATCTACCTACTCCTGCCTACCAAGTGCTGGCACTAAAAGCTTGTGCCACTATACCAAACTTTCAACTTGATTTATTTTTCCCTCAACTCTAATTATTTCATCTCTGTATTTTATACAGGTAATATTTCTATGTACCTGTAGTATAAACTACTACTTTTTAAAGTTTCAGATGTTTTTATTTACTATTGTTGAAAGTTTCAGAAGTTTTTATCTAAAGGTTCTCAGAAGAAACAAATCATAAAGAGCTAACAACCTGATCAAATGTACAGCTCCCAAACAGCCTTTGGCATCTAAGGAGTCCCGGGAGGGAGACCGCAATCACCTTGACCCAGAGTCTCCTGGCAGTCCCGCAGCGTAGTAGAGTGAAAGCATTAGCTCTTGGTCACTGGTCGCTATGAAAGTCTGTTTATCTATAAGAAAGGTCTTCATAAAATTAGTTTTTAATAATTTGACAGCTGTCTACTATGTGATAGCTAACTGACTTCAATTTTATGTACAGAGGCTGTACTTCCCAAATCTGACCCAGATGAATATGGCACTCAGTACCTATCAGCAGATTCTCCCTTCCCCTTCTGACTGAGCTACCAACTTCCTGTCTTAACTAATGCAAAATATAGCAAGCTGTGAGAGATCCAGGCTGTTAAATGTGCTAGGCACATGGATGCTGCTGCGTTCGGTATGGATGTCCACAAAGGATATTTTAGGATGTGTAGACCCAGTAATACCACAGCTCCTTAAAAAATAAAAAAAAAGGAAGAACAAAGCCTCATTCATTCTATGACTATGTAATTTTCACTAGGATCTACAGAGCAGTAGGGACATTTGAATCTATGAAATGCCACTGCCATCCATCATCAAATACAAGCAATAAAATTTAAGAACTAAAAAATAACTCAGAAGAGCCGGGCGGTGGTGGCACACGCCTTCAATCCCAGCACTCAGGAGGCAGAGGCAGGAGGATCTCTGTGAGTTCGAGGCCAGCCTGGTCTACAAGAGCTAGTTCCAGGACAGGCTCCAAAGCTATAGAGAAACCCCGTCTCGAAAAAACAAAACTCAGAAGAAATAACTGCTTAGCCCTAGCTCCCAAGCTAGGAGGATTTGGTTGGTGGAAACAGGGAGGGCCAGCCACCTGACACAGAACAAAAGAAAAATAGCCCCTGAGGCAGGCAACTGTTCATAGACAGCTGACCAAAGCACAGTCTTTGAAGACAATTTATCACGAGTTTTAGAACTTACACAATTGATTTTTAAAAAGGCGTTAACAACAGTGAATCATCTCTCATGTACTAAAGCAGAAATAACCTGATGAGTCAGGAATTTCACCTTTTCAAAGTTGGTTTTCTACACAGTTGAACACCTGTAGTGATGACGTAAAGATTGAATTATAAGGGCTGGAGAGATGGCTCAGCGGTTAAGAGCATCGTCTGCTCTTCCAAAGGTCCTTAGTTCAATTCCCGGCAACCACATGGTGGCTCATAACCATCTGTAATTAGGTCTGGTGCCCTCTTCTGGCTGCAGACATACACGCAGACAGAATATTGTATACATAAAAAAAAAAAAAAAGATTGAATTATAAGTTTAAAATATCCCCAGAATAAATCTAGGCCTATAGTTTTACTACTAAATTCTATCAAACATTTAAGAAAATAAATTAATAATTGAAATAATTTAACATAAATACCAGAATGCCAGAGTTGGGACACTTGGCAACTCATTTTGTAACTTGATAGTATAATATAAAACCAGATCAAGACATTACCATGAGGCCGAGATGTCTCTGGGTAAAGACAGCTGCTGCCAACCTTATGACCCCATAAGGTCATAAGTTTGATTCCAGAACAAGCAGGATACAAAGAGAACAACTGGCCCTTGGAAGTTGTCCTGAGACTGCCACATGTGTGTTATGACATGTCTGTGCACCCACACACAAATACAAAACAAGTAGATGGAAATGCAATAGGCTTTTAGGGGCTGGAAAGGTGGCTCAGTGGATAAAAGCACTGATGCTCTCCCAGAGGACCTGGGTTTGAGTCCCACCACCCGCATGGTGTCTTTTTGTTTGTTTGTTTTTTGAGACAGGGTTTCTCTGTAGCTTTGGAGCCTGTCCTAGAACTAGCTCTTGTAGACCAGGCTGGCCTTGAACTCACAGAGATCCGCCTGCCTCTGCCTCCCTAGTGCTGGGATTAAAAGCATATGCCACCACCACCCAGCCGCATGGTATCTTACAACTTTCTGTAACCCCAGTTCCAGCGGATCTAAGACAACTTTTCTGGCGTGCATGAGGTACACAGTCATGCATGCAGGCAAGACACCTTGATAATAAATAAAAATATAAGAAAAGGTGACTCAGATTAGTCCTGTCACACATGTGAAACTGAACTTAAGGGAATAATAAGGACAGTGCATCTTGGTAAGTAAATAAACAGGATGTTGACAGGCTGGTGTCTAAATGTGTTTTCCTTGCTTAGGAGAGAGGTGGCATTTTAGTGCAGTTAGACACTAGTGGAGGGGACGGGGTAGTGATGGCACACGCCTTTAATCCCAGCACTTGGGAGCCAGGTGCAGGGAGAACTCCAAGTTTGAGGATAACCTGATCTACAGAGCCCAGGACAGCCAGGGCTACACAGAAAACCCTGTCTCAGAAAACAAAAGCAAACAAACAAACAAAAAAAGACAACAACAACAACAAACCCAACCCCAAACAAACAAAGAAGAGGAGCAGCAGCAGCGGAGGGGAAGCCGCTCAAGCACCGGATGCCAGGACCTGGGACCTGGGAATGCCTGGTTTCTGACCCAGGCTTTTACTTTCTCTGGTTACCAAAAGCCCTTAGTGGTTCCATTCAGGTTCCCATTGACCTTGCCTGAGGTGAGAGGCCAATTGATCCAGAAAGTAATGTTTAGAATCTCTTTTCTTCACAAAAATTTGTGTTTGCTGTACTTGAAATACTATACTAACATGCCTGCCTGGGTTGAATAGAGTTTTACCTGGGGACCACGTGAATGTCTGTACAGAATGCTCCAGATATTGATGGGAAAGCCCAACATTGGCTGAGAAAGACCTGGTAGATGTTGGATTGGGGTTTTCAAGTTAGCATTCTTTCTCATCAAGCAGGATTGGGCAACAACCACTGGCGTCTCTGAGTGGCCAGTACAGGAAGATCTTCCGATTCAAAAATAGAGTTTTTTCTCCATGCAATAGGAAAAGCAGGGTACCTGGGTGAGTCTCTAGACAGTTACGTTAACCCCCAGTCTCGTGATCTCTGGTCCATAGGTCCTCATCTTTGTTGAGTAGTTGTCATGGAGACAGCCACTCAGTGCTCGGTGTGTGTGATGGACTCCAATGTGCTGCCTTCAGCCTTTTCATGAGGGAAATGTGATAACATAATCAATAAGTGGCCTCTGCCTCTAGTCCTGCCAGGGCTCCCCTGGGACTGTGGGGCAGTCATGGGGTCCTGCCCAAAGCCAGTCATCTCCTCTGCTCTCATGGTCCTTTTATTTCTTATATAGGTTCTGAGAGTGACTCAAAACCAGCACGTCATATGTCCTGTATATTCTGTGAGCCCACTGGCCTGTGATTCCATGGAGTCGAGAAATGACAGGGTAACCTCATTGGCACATGTCAAAGGAAGAGCAGTCACTGAGATGACAGCCAAGTCTCCACTGTGGCCTGTAGTCTTCACATAGTGTGGACAGCATGACCCTCCCATGGCCTGTTCTGGCTGCTTCTGGAAGGTGCTGTCAAGGTCTAGCCTTGGGGGTCTTGGTACATGCATGCCATCTTCCCTGTCTAGGCTGTCTTTTGGGAGGTCCTTCTCTTGCCTTCACATTCCATAGACCCTGTCTGTGTTATTGACATGCTCAGTCCCTCTGTGGTTTGAAGTGCTTGCCTGCATCCTCTGTATGCATCTGGTTCCTGAGTGTATCACCATGCCCAGGTTTGTATTGTCTGGGGAGGTGACTGAGGACCAGAGGAAGAAGGGCACTGGCCTTGTGGCGCTGTCTCTTTAAGGGTAGCGACATCACAAGGCTGTGGAAGGCCAGGCAGCGTGGAACTCCGAGGTCTTCGGTTGTTTCTGTGGGGTCTGCGGACTCTGTATTTCCATCTCCATGGGGCCACAGGCCCACATGTAAACAATCTAGGACGCTATGGCAGAGGGCAGTGAGCTGATGAACAGGCTCATGAGTGAGAACGCAGACCTGAAGAAGCAGGTGCGCCTCCTGAAGGAGAACCAGATGCTGAAGCGACTTCTCAGTGAGAGCTGCCAAGAGAGCTGTGGCCGAGGGGGCCGGGACCTGCTCTTTCCCAAGGCCCCTAACTACCCTGAGGCCTGCTCCCCCGGGAATGGAGGTGAGGTGCAGGCCTGCTCATGGGGCACCTTCCAACCTCTCGGGTCAAGTAACCTGTTGGGTGGCATGTCCCAGGGAAAGCCCTTCTCTCAGGGACTCAGTCTACGCCTGAATGGTGGAGTGGGCATGTCAGCTGGTAGATATGCCCACTGGTCATGTCTTCTCAAGACGCTGTAACCTGGATTAAAACAGGCAGGGTGTGAATGCATGGCTCCAGGCCTGCTGAAGTAGTCAGTTCCCTTTCACTGGGCTTAGCTGGGTGTTTTTATCCTGCTTTGTGGCAACGGGTGCCATGTTCTTGTCTTGCCGTGAGACAGGTGTGCCCGCTGGTAGAGCTGAGTGTGTCTCATCCATTCATTTGCCAAAGAGTCCCTTGATTGAACCTG